ACCTATCCACTGTCAATATCATCTATCCACTGTCAGTATCACCGACCCACTGTCAGTATCACCGACCCACTGTCAGTATCACCGACCCACTATCAGTATCTGTGGTCAGTTATCACAAAAAAGTCATTCTTGATGTACTTTGTCGAGCCTTTTTTGGTTTTTATTGGTCAACTACCTGAAGCCGAGCAAGCCGTAGAGTCTGCGGTGGAAGTCCTCCCACACCTGTCCCAGGCTCGCTCTCACAGCTTGCTGGTGAAGTTCCTGCAGAATGGCATCCTCACCCTCACCATCACCCCCACAGTCACCCTCACAATTACTGTTCTCCTGATCACCCAACAGAAAATACGACTCTAACCCACCGCGACACAGCGGGCATTTGTCCAGCAGCTTGAAACATCCTAGACACACACAGGCATGTCGGCACGGGAGCAGCACGCACCGGACACGCCGCGTCTGACACACAACACACACAGGAAGACAGTCGCATGAACACGGTCGTTCCAAAGATTCAACGCCAGGGGGGGACACATCCCTGCCCACCTCTCCCACACGGCCGAAAGTGATTGGCTGAGAGATATCCACGCCGTCGGATGTGATGGGCTGACAGATATCTACACGGCCGGATGTGATGGGCTGAGAGATATCCACGTCGCCGGATGTGGTTGGCTGAGAGATATCCACACGGCCGGATGTGATGGGCTGACAGATATCCACACGGCCGGATGTGGTAGGATCGGAGTCAGGAGATCTTCCCAAGGCTATTTCCCTGTGCACTCCTTTTCCGATCCGCTTTCGTATTTTGCCACCTCCACGCCTTGGGCCATTCTGCAATGTATCAGGAATCATTTTTCCATCTCTGTTCCTGCTATCATAAGAAGAAGTATTTGTTCTTCCATCTCTGTTCCTACTAATACCGCCGCTGTGCCCCTCATCACCGCCCCTGTGCCCCTCATCACCGCCGCTGTGCCCCTCATCACCGCCGCTGTGCCCCTCAGCTGGCGCATCCGCCGGCCGACTAGACATGTACAGAGGCTGAATAGACATGTACAGAGGCTGAAACAGAAAGCACAACATGAGAAAACTAGAGTAAATCAGATAAATCCTGACAAAGCACAAGACAAATCCTGACAAAGTACAAGACAAATCCCGACAAAGTACAAGACAAATCCTGACAAAGTACAAGACAAATCCCGACAAAGCACAAGACAAATCCCGACAAAGTACAAGACAAATCCTGACAAAGCACAAGACAAATCCTGACAAAGCACAAGACAAACCTGACAAAGCACAAGACAAATCCCGACAAAGTACAAGACAAATCCTGTGGTTTACAAGACAAAAGCTGACCAGCGTAGTCTACTTATAGTACATGGCTACTGTGCTACCTTGTCCTACTGTCTGGTACATGGCTACTGTGCTACCTTGTCCTACTGTACTGTCTGGTACATGGCTACTGTGCTACCTTGTCCTACTGTACTGTCTGGTACATGGCTACTGTGCTACCTTGTCCTACTGTCTGGTACATGGCTACTGTGCTACCTTGTCCTACTGTCTGGTACATGGCTA